ATGAGAGCGATGTGCATTTGAATGCTTTTTTGCCCACGGCAAAGATTTTGCTGTGGCTTAAAAAATGGGAAATGTATATATGTTTCTTCTTAATATCTGTTGCTATTATTCTTTGATTATTCTTTTTCTTTATTTAACTATTTTTTAAGTCCAGAACCAAAAAACGGCTTCATGAGAACAGGGTAGTCTGAACATATGTTATATACATATGTTCTTTAACATAACTGACCTCTTTTCATTCCGTGTCAGCTGCTCTATGAAAAATCAAATGATGAAAATAATCTGAACGTGCCACTTTATCAAAGGATTTTGTGGACATAACATAATTGTTTACTGAATTGCTCTGTCACCATTTGGTTTTCAAATACTTGTAAAACCGTTATTAGGTTAATTCATGCTTGTTGCATGTAAGTGTTGATTATAAAATAGAGAATTTTAAGCAGAATCCCTAAGTCATGTTCCATACGAGCTATTTACATCGATATGTCAGCTGCTCTAAATAATTTAAAGTGTAATTTAATGATCATAGTTTGACCATGACATTTAAATGACATCCGACCGTTTCGGACAATTATAAGACGAAACAAAATATTGATTCATTCAGAATAATCTTTGACCTTAAAATAGCATTGACTGTCGAAGTCTTGTCATCGAATTTAGCTCAAACTTGTGATCACTTTGTAATATGTTTTCTCCTACATGGTATTAACAGCGTTTATGACAAAGGCGGAATGATAAGTGCTTCGAGTTTGACCTTGACGGTTATATCATTAGTTATAAAGATTGTTGACAGATTATATGACCATATATAAACGGTTATTTAGCAAACAACCGTTTATATACGGCCATATAACCTGTCAACAATCTTTATATCGAATTTATAATACAGCAAACATCATTTTTTAGAGAAAAAAGTAAGAGTTCTTCATGAATCGACAGCAGCCGTCTATATTAAACTATATAAACGTCACGATTATCCAATGAAAAGTGACGTTACAAACGTGCAGTATTGTAAGACATTCACTATCAGGTTTGCCCCTCACCGCTGTGGGTTCGAATCCCAACAGGGACTTTGGATTCTTTCATGTGAGGAAGCTATCCAGCTAGCTTATGGAACGTCGGTGGTTCTACTCAGGTGCCCGTTCGTGCCTGAAATAATGCACGGAAGGGCACCTGAGGTCTTCCTCCGCCAGTAAAGCTGGAACGTCGCGATATGACCTATACTGTGCCGATGTGACGTAAAACCCAATCAAACAAACAAACTATCAGGTCAAGTTATTGAAGTTATTGATTTAAACTTACAATGGTGATATTACTTTACGAAATGAATGCGAACATTGATTACATAAAATACACTTTTGGCAAAACCGACAAATTTGAATATTTCAACTTTCACATTGACTTTTAATGGGCATTGGCTGTTGAATGGAGCTTTGTTATTTGTTTAAAAATATTATTTATACTTTGGCAAATAAATTCTCCTTGAAATGAAATTATCACCATGTCTAATTATTGAATTTGCTTGAATTGTGATAAAAACCGACATGTTCAGTTTATATTATCTTGTTATCTATAATAATGAGTGTAAAATTACGATTAACATAGCAGACGGCATTCGAATAAGTTGCTTAAATTGCGTATAAATTGGCATTCTTCATGACGTGTTTTCAAAAGATAACAACGCACACAGTCCTATACGTTTATCATATAGTTTTTTACATGCCTTACTTAGTTCATGTTCTAATACAATGGATTTACATTCAATACAATTAACGCTTGGGTCTGGAATAATTCCATCTGTTGGACTCGGCACTTTTACATTCTTCGAAAAACATGTATGTAATTATTAGTTAATATATATAGCTTTTCTTATTGGATTCATTAAATGCTATAAACAACGTGGAAAATGAATATTGCCTCTTTGATTCCCATAAACTGATTGTGTTATGTTATATATTATACTCAACATGTTACACTTGTGACAAATGAGGTCGATATGTAGCACGCATCTGTGTGAAATAAGCTATAGAACTCGAATAGATGTTGAAGTATCAAATAAACTAAAAGTAAAACTGAGCTTTACTAATGAGTTTAGCATTCTGACATGTCTTGTGATTTTGGTATATGTTACAAAGAAGAAATATAATCACTTTTTATCCGCCAAAGAATACGTTTACACTATGTTTCCGGTGGCAATGGCAATCACGTTTCTGGTCAAATGTGGAGAGAATACAAGGAAAGTGTGTCAACAAAGGGTAAGGGAAACGTGACAGACCCTAATTACCGTGAATAACGTGCTAGTGTTTTAAACTGTCAAAATTTGCCACGACAGCCACGGCGCGAATAAGATAGGTAAAATGCTGTAGTAAGAGGATTTCAACGTTAAACGTATAAAATATATGTGGGTACTTTGGGGAATATGGTGTAAACGTATGTTTATTGTTCAACTATAATAATTAAAGAATAAGGCGGCTATCGCATTCCAGTATTACCATGCTATACCGTTATGATATTGTAGGTATGTGATATATACTTAAAAACATAACAAAAAATATACCAACCGCCGACGTAACTGAGTTGGTAAGGATGTTATCTTTTGAATTTCTACTTTAAATAAAACAGTCCGGCCTACTTTTTCGCAAAATGGACATTTTTAATTAATTTTAAAACATTTAATATTGTAAATGTTTCTTTAACTTTGTATTTCTTCTTGTTTCTTATGAAATTGACTTTTGATTACAATATGAGAGTTCTCCTACCAATTAATTATATTATTACATGTAAAATAACCATATTCATGCAAATGCAAAAGTACAGAAAGAGATGTCAAGAGGCGTGAGAAAATACTAAAAAGTTCCTCCATCTGCAGAAATTTAATGTTCATTAAAAATACGGCGGAATGAAAATTTGTTTAAGTAATAAAAAAAATAATACACCGGCCCACAGACGCTATTACCACTAACAATTATTTACACATTTAACAGTGCCAATCTAACTTATTAAACTTATTGTACCGTAACACCTGACTGGTACAACAACATGAAAACCATAATATCAATGTTTTCGACCGGCATACCTCGAACCGATAAAGTAAATCTAGACGAAGCTCAAATCACTCGCGAAAGAACGTCAATCACCACCGAAGAACATTCAATAGTTTTGCCAGGTCTTTCTTAAATACATGTAGTTCTTCTGAACGATATCGCAGTCTTCACGACAATGCTACATAATAAAGATATAAGCCCTGGGCATTGTTGTTTTCCACAATATATATTAGATATGTTTTTCCATACATAAAGTCTACACTGTAATTTAGGACAAGGACAATTTCAAAATAATGTACTCAGTACATGTACCTAAAAGTGAACTTAAACTGAATGAGTCCTAGTCCGGGGATTGTTTTTAGGTTTTGTAGGGGTCAACTAAGCTTTGTTACATGCCAAATATCTGATTTCTGAGCAATGTAGTCTCACACGATATAGATGTTAGATGTGCTTTCCAACATAAGTCCATATTAATTTTGTAATGGTTCACAAGCCTGAAGATGCAGCATCACAATCAATCTAAGCTCTTAGTATCGAACTTTTACACAAATGGTTTTAGATGTGTTTTACGAAGTGAAATTACTATGCCCTGGCCAATTTTGTGAGGAAGCCCAAACCATCACTTATTATGATAAACATTTCTGTCAAGTAGTTTCAGTTTCTTTTCTTCGTTTCAAAAAATACAGAGAGCATAAGTTGCAAACAGACGGACGGCCGGAATGGTGGTTATTATTATGTATAAAAAGGTTATATGTATCAATTCCTGTAATACTAAGAGAGGAGTCATCATACACAACAAGAACTTGAAATTATCGATATTTAACATATGTGCTGTTCTAAGCTTCCTTAAACAAACACAGATAACGTTAACGCATTTCAAATGGAAGCTGCGCGTTACGCCACCTTTAAACATCCACGAGTACTCTTTGACTGCTAATCCTAAAAAAATATTTGTCAGTATATCCAGTTGTGATTCGATTTTTATATCACTTTAAGATAGCCTATTGTAAATACTTTTGTAAATACTTTTTGTAAGAACTTATAGGATGACAAAGCCCACTTTGCACAACACAATCAACTAGTACCCCTTAAACATCCTTACCAAGCTATGAGGACCGATAATTTAACGGGTTCTCGAGGTGAACTTTTTATATAAAGGGACATTAGTACCGATTACCCAAAGATCAGGCAGTATTTCCGAATCAAAAACTGTTTTGAAAAAAAAAAACAAAAAAATACAAATAGGAACTATTTTTCTTTCCGTTCTAAATACTTGAATCTATTTTTTATCAGTCATTTTTGTAAGTTTTTCCTTTAATTGTTAGATAATCATTATGGTTTTATATACTTGAATTGATTACTTTTATAAGTCATCTTTGTAAGTGTATTGTTTGGGAGTTAGAATTAATATTTTCATTCTGGTTAAAACCGGTGTCTGGCATGACAAAGGTATTGTTGTCATCATGATTATTATCTAAATTTACCGATTTAAAATTATTTTAAAATGTTTCAAAATCGAGTGTGTTTTATTGCATTGAATTAAAGTTATGAATCCTCTGGGTGTCTAAAGTGCGTTTCTCTGTTTTCGCTCATTGCAAGATTTCGATCTGAAAGGCGCGAAAGCTAGCCACTGATTGACTAATTGAATGGTCACGAGAATATGACCTCCCATTGATGGCTGTCAGATCCTAAGACTAGAGTTTTACAGAAGCTTGTTCTGAACAGACTATCTGAAATGCATTTTGCTGTTTAATTTTAAAGAAGCAGAAGGATTTGCCAAACCATCTAAGCGAGATAATAATATTATTTATGTTAATAATAACAAAGCCGCTAAGATTGATTTTAATATAGTGATCCCACAAACCATTTATACGATATAAAGTGCTTAAATAAATTGTACAACAGTGTCAGAAATCTCCCATGTATGCTGTGTAGTATATCATTTTCTATTGTTAGGGTAGTCTCGATGAGATTGAAGCTGTCGTAGGTGTTGCTGTAGAAGCCGGGTATCGCCATTTTGATTGCGCATGGGCTTACAGGACCCAGGGGGCAATTGGTAAAATGTTAGAGAAGAAAATAAACGAAGGTGTCATTAAGCGGAAAGATATTTTTATTACTACCAAGGTTTGATTTGTTCTTATTTTGAAGTAAAAATAAAAAGCAAAACACTAGAAACGAGAAATTCAATGCTATTGTAATGCCTGAGATTGTTATAGTTTTACTTAATCAAATCACACTGATACATCCCTTAATACTTAGTTAACTTTGGATTGTTACATTTATTATTATTTTCTATTGTTTTAATTATTTAACTCAATTTAAGGAATGTAACACAGTGGTTTTAATGATTCATCTAACTTTTTTGTATAGATGTTTTAATCGGAACTGGAAAGACAAATTAACGGGAATCTAAATAAACTTTGGTCCTTTTCAATATGTTTAATCACTGTGCATATTGTGCCGTTTTCTATTAAAAGAACTCTACAAGCTCTATTTTATTTGACTCGTAGTCATTAACAAACAATGCAGCCGTTAGCACGGAATTCTTCACATTAAAAATAATGGGATTCGAAATTGTGGCCGATAATCGGATTGTCACAAAGGGGCGACGCAGGCGGATGATCGATGCATCGAAATTCAGCTTAAATGCCATCCGATGGTCCGATTTCGATCAAATAGAATGACAGATACACATAAAATGAAAATCCTGCCTCTATTCTTTACTGTGTGTTTCAAAGGAAGTCAATTAAAACTCAGCGTTAGACCAATGCTGAGAGTGAAATAACTTTTAGTACATTTGTATATTTGTATTTTTGCACAGATCTTTCTGATAACTGAGAATCTATGTTTTTATAATAAACTGCTTTAATGAGATTCTTAAAGATATGAAATATAACAACCAAGTGTTTAAGCGGGATTGATAATTCATGTCGTGAATTTTATTACAAAAATGTTTTGTTTCTTTTACATCTGTAAACCCAATTAATTATCACTCGTGGCGTGAATGTAAATATTATTAACATTTCCATTTCAGTTATGGAATGCACACCACAATCCAAAGCTCGTGTTGGGAGAATTGAAGGACTCGTTAAATCAACTACGAACAAACTACGTTGATATGTTTCTTATACATTTTCCGACTGGAGAGAAAGTTCCGTGAATATATTAGTCCACTTATTTATCTTATTTATACATCCATTTCCTCAAATAAGGTTTTAATAGATTAGTTATGTTGTCAAACTAGAATCTGATGCATAATTTGTTGTAGGCCTTGTCAAGTAATTAGTACATTTAGATGTCGAACTCGAATATTAATGCGGGCGGAAATATGAGAAACATTAAAGCTTATTTCATAAAGAATTAAATGAGGACAAATGTAGTCTTAATTGAAAAAAAAAGTTTACAAGCATGTTCGTTCATGGTGTCAAATCAAAAATAAATTACACCTTAAATTCCACTCATACTAAAGATTTTTAAAAGAAAATCCGATATAGATTTGCCACATACTGAAGCAAAGCAAAAAAAAAAGACCGTAAACCACTTTTCAGAAGACTTTATGAATGTCAGTTCAAATGTGTGAACAAAAATGTGCCATACATAATTATGTTTGAATGTTACTAGGTCTACATTACTCTCCGAATCCAATTTATTTTTCTCTTTTTGCGATCTTATTCCGACAGAGCCTGCGTCTGCCACGGTATGTGAATCGTAATTTCTCACCAGTTGATTACATGTATTATTTTAGTATGCATTATAAACAAACTATCATTGTTATAGGAGATGGAAAGGTGTCATCAATTAGGATTAACCAAAAATATTGGATTGTCTAATTTCACCATCGAGCAAACGCAAAGAATATTTGATTCCTGTACCATTAAGCCGTCAAACATTCAGGTCAGTGAGACGTATAACATTTTCCCTTAAGCTTGGGACTTATCACTTGTCGAAATCTGAACCTTTAACTATGTCATAAGTTCAAATTCACAAGTTTCTTCGAACCTCTACCCGCTTAAGGTATGACCATCCTAATGCATCACCCCCGCTTTTTATAGTATTCTTCTGTTAACTGCATTGAAACTTAGACCGTGGTTTCAAACCCCAAAATGGTCACCCATTTTTCTTTATTTTTTTTTCTTCTTTTAACACTTATTATGTATCTATTAAATCACTTTCGGGAAGAAAAAAGTATTTAATTTTAATCATTTTAATATCGGTATTTATTGGCTAAATAAAGCTTAATCTAATAACAACTATAGTACCTGATAATTTCGAAGTGTCATGAAATCAAAACTACATGGTAAAAGTATTTGATATTTTACAAGATCAACCAATATACTTTAAAAAAATATGGAAAATGTGAAAACAGGCACTCATTTTGGTAATTTTTGGGATTATTTTATTATTTTTTTATACATATTTCAAAAAATAATTTTTTTTGTAGAAACAATCATTTTACTCATGTGGATTGTCGCTGAATGTTACTGTTCTGTTTGTTTCCTACCAAAAATTAATGAGAAAACATTTTCATAAGAATGATATTGTAGATTATTTATAGGTTCCTTATTTCTGTAAAAGGGTCCTTCTAACATCCAAGATTAAGTTCAGAACGGTGACCGTAACTCGATATCCGTGTTGTAAAGTTTGTTTAAATTTTGCAGACAGGTGTCCTTTAAGGTATATATCTGACCTATGATTTCTTATAGAGCCCATTAAGAATGTCGTACCTTAAAGTCAATACAAATTGCATTGTTGAGATACAAAAGCTTAGACCAAGTGGATATGATCCCCTTAAATGGTTACAAAATTGATTTATCAAATATGAATTTATACAATATAAATTTCAAATTTCCAGATTGAGGTCTCACCTTTTTTCCTCAACGAGCGTTTAGTGAAGTTTTGTACAGGCAAAGGAATGGCTGTCACATCGTATGGTCCATTAGGATGTCCATCACACCCAGAGTAAGAGTGGAATTAAATTCGGAATGACTTTTTTTATCATTGTGTATTATGTGTATGAATAGACCTGTGTATTAATAGACATTCAAATCACCACACAAAATACCGTAACATCTTCTTTCACTAGGCTAGAGTACCCCATTTTTACAGGCATATTGCAACTTATGAAATACGACTTTTACGTCATGACATTATTTAAGCTTACCTGACCGATAATGGTCGCATTTGCTTCTCTTTAAATTGGCGTGTATTCAAATGTCTAATATTTATCACCATTTATACCGCTAGAAATTTCTTTCATTCAACGTCCAAGTTATAAAAAATACATAAAATTAAGCACCCCTAGACTTGAGCTACATGTGAGGACAAAGCTAATCTTTATATAAAATATTTTCAGGAGACTGGCGGGAGAGCAAGGACCTCTTGAAGATCTTGTCCTCATAGAAATGGCGAAACGAAAAGGGAAATCTGTAGCACAGGTAAACTTCAAATTAGAATATATCACTCATTATTATACACCTAAATATTAACATATTAGTCATCCTAACTTCATATTTTGGATACAATGTGTTAATACAAAATATCATGTAAAATCATGTGTTCGAGAGATATATGATGTACGATTTCATATACATGTATATTTTAAGCGATAAAACACTATGTAACGTATGTGTAATCATGTATATGTATATGCAAAGTCCATTCATATTTTTACCATTAAAAGAATAACAACGATTTGTAAACTGTAGAAATGTGTTTAACCTAGGCTAGACAATTTTAATTTTAGAAAACAACTCTATTAAAAAACATAATTACAAAGAATGCGAAATAAACGAAATTAAGCTTTCTTTACAGGTTATTCTTCGGTTTCTAATACAGTACGGAACTGCCGTGATTCCCAAAAGTGTCACTCCATCTAGAATCAGAGAAAACATAAATGCAAGTACTTTTTCCTGATCTAAAAGCTCAAAATACTTTATTAAGTTGACTACAATACGCAGACCAGGGTCTATGTTTTATACATTCGGGTTAATAATACTTGCCTTTTTCATTTTTTTCTATATTGTGCAAATTTGTAATTGTTCTTCTAAATAAATTCAAATACTTTGGCTTTTATGTTGAGTCAAAACAGAAATAAGCTATTCTTTTCTTGATTTAACCGATAAGAAATTTTATGTCAACGCCATGGTGAAGTTACAAACAATTAATGATAGGTGGCGATGATTTGTTCTGAGTGAGTTAGTTCATGACTTATGTGTGTTATTTAAATTAATCCTGCCTCTTGATGTTTATTTGTTTGGATGAATTCCAGTAACGCATCATAGCAAAGACTAATACATTTTTTATTTTTTTGGTCTCAACCCGACTTTATATCCTACAGCATTGTTGGAAAAATAAGGCGAGATTTTACCTTCTGGCCGTCCCCGCTTTTACATTCCGTCTGTCCCCGCAGTGCTGAGTCAGTACGATGGTTTTATTTGGGTATGAAAAGATCGAGAAATATATCATATTTCAACTCAGTATGAGGGATATAGCACTGACTTTATCTCTAGGGCAGAACCTAACCATGGGTTTTTATGGTCCTAGTTGGTAATTGCCTTGTGTTTTCCCTTTTTAATAAGGCTTATTGTACGGCTTGAATATGCATTTTGTAAAAAGAAAACAGATAAAGATAATATTTGTACCACAAGGTGACGTCAGATATATCTCTGTCAAAGTATTAAAATCAGCATGTGAACTATCAATAGGCTCCTTGATTGAGGTTGTTTAACAATCGTTCCAGGTGTTTGACTTCGAGTTGTCAGAAGATGAAATGCAGATGATAAAATCTTTAAATAAAAAGAAAAGGCTATTTAAAGAGACTAGGTATGTACCTTAACAATTTAAGCAAGTTTCTAGTGAAAGTTATGCACCCATTATTGTAAATAAATTTCTACATATACCCTGAAAATGAACAAAAAAAGAAGAAAAGAAATTGAAAAAAATTGAAATTATCAGATAATGGAAAAATGACTGTTAGAAATGAGATGTTTCATGATAAGCAAAAGCATGTAATGCAGTGAAAAACATTATTGTTATAATTATATCACAAACATCTTCATACACATATTTTGTAACACCATACTTAGCAGCTTTATTATATCATCCGTAAAGACCTTTTAACAACCAGCCTTCGCGGTGTACAAATTCAAACGCGTGCATTTTGATTTGCTTATGTCAAAAGAATGCCATTATCCTGCACGAAAATGTAATCGTCAAAAAGACAAAAAGGCATTAACATTAGACTAAGTAACATAAATCATGTGTTATATTCGAAGTTATACAAAGACGTTTACAGCGGTACAAAAGTCATAATGACGCAAAAACACAAAAGTATTATAACGCATAGCCAAAGGTTTAGTAATATAAAACAAAAGGAGACAGACATTTTCGGAAATTTGTCTCATGATTTCTTGTTGTTTATATATTTTAATGTTCTATTTATTCTGCCATTTCAGGTTGAAAGATCACCCGGAATATCCGTTCGACACACCTTTGTAAACTTCGTTCATGCTATCGGGCAAATATGTACCTAGTAGAAATGTCTAGATTCTTTTCATATTTTCTTGTAGACAATATACATGTTTTATATACATGTAAGTTATATGCACCTCATGGTAATATATACAACTCAACAATATTAACAACCACGTGTTATTTATCATATACCGAAACATTTACTGTATAAATTTACTAAATTTCAGTGGACGTTCCTCGAGATATTGTAACATATTTAAGAACTCCTAGCATTAAATTATTCCCTGCGGTCTGGAGACCGCAGGGTATTGGTACGCGTTTAACTTTTGAGGCATGGAGGAGCACGTGACCTGTTTTCGGTACATGGAGGAGCATGTGATCTGTAAACCGTATATGACTGGTTAATTGACCTTTTCGAAAACCCAGCTAAATACCGTTTGCCGGTACGTTACGGATTTACCAGTAGGGAATTAGTCCGAATTATACCTAATTGAGAACAAAAAACTATTACGTGATATTTCTAATTTTCTATAATTATTTTACCGTTTAAGGTGGAAAAACTTGAATGATGTGTTTGAAAATGATCACTGTTTCTTTAATATCTATCTCAAATTTTACAAACAATAAATTGTTTATACTGAAAATCTACAATATTAAAATATTCGTAGTGGCATCTGCCATAATAAATAGAGATATTTTCCGCGTAAACTTGTGTGTTTACTTTATTTATTTTTTGCTCGGAATTATTCATAAAATGGAAGGCCTATTTAATCATTTTCTTAAAAAGAAATAATTGTTTTATGTTCTATATACCTTCTCCGGTCTTCAACGTTCACCAATTTCCAAAGACCTTCTTCTATATTGATCGATTATTGTCAACTATATTCCTGATACAAACGTTTTTTTATTTCCCCCCCCCCCAAATAATGTTGAAAATAGTTAAATGAAATATCTTTATATTATTAAAATGTTCACCGCAGGAAATCATTTTACTTGTTATTTGTTTACATGTGTAGCTACTTATCGAAGGTTAAATCGAAATACGTATACGCTCTGTTGGGTTCACAAGAGCCAAGAAGATGCGATTTATAAAATAGGTGGCGCAATACGAAATGGCGCTTACACCGTAGCTTTTAAAGTTCAACGACACCACGTAGATGTTTTTACTAGTCGCCAGGAAAAACAGGCGACTGTATTTGTAACAGTTTAATTTTATACCTCCTAAATATCTGAATATAAAAGCAGATCAGTTATTGATTAATTTAAGACCACAATTATATTTCAGTAATCTCAGAAATTCAAACATATAATAACGTTGCTCAATGAAATGAAATATACAAATATTGACATAATAAAGATATTCTATGCTCATCCTTGAGTAAAATAATTTAATGACAGAAATTTAATTAAATCTTTAATTATTTTACTAGTTATGTGAATTTAAAAAATAATAAAACTATGTATGGGAAGCTGTGTGTCCTATTACAGGGCAAGTAAAGTTTGATCTTTCTTAAAAAATCTGCCAGTTTTTTAATATCTCATATTGTGATCACCTATAGTGTGTAAAGTTTTTAGTACAACATATCCACTATGTGTGAGAAGTCAAATATTTACAAAGAGATTGTTTCGCAATTATCAATATTTTCTAATATCAAATTTGAGCACAGTATATCTTTAAAAAGCAACATTACAATTTTTATAGCATGAATTAATAATGTATCCCTATGGATAAGTCCTTTACCTTAGAGATACTTTAACTAAGTGCCAAGAGTTTCTATTTTATGATAAATAAATCATGCATTATATTTGAAATGATACTTTTAAACTACTAGTATTTGGTTGAGACCTATTCTTTTTTATTATTCTGTTTAGTTATAAACAGTTTCTCCCTGTTCTTTTGTTAGAATCACGTGACTACACGTTGTATGTTATTGTTATAAAGTCAATTAATAGTAACAAATTGCTGATAAGACATACAGGTATCTTGTGAGGTATGGCAGCTGATAAAGTGCAAATCATAGTAATTTTGTATGAATAATTACAAAATTATTCTTCTTTAATCAATTTCATATGTTATATAGTTAGAAAGGTCTATATACTCAAATTTTACACATTAAAAATATATTTTTTCTTGGTAAAGGGTTAAACTTGGTCCTTTCTGTAACACTTCTGACGTTTAAATTAAGTTGAACGTCACAAAATAAATCTTTAACATTAATCATAATAAGTTACAGACACTAACGAAGCACCTCCCGAAAATTAATGTTTTACGGTTTTCCAATATTGCCTGGGGTTATTACAATTAAGATCAGATTTGGAAAATTCTAAGTTATTAAAAAACTTTCTCTTTGCATGTTGAATCATATTGCTCACTTTATTCCTGTACCTTTTGTGTATAAACCAGTGAAATTCTTTATTTGAGCTAATTGCTTAAAGTTTCTGTTTATCCCGTTTACGAGTCATATTTCTTATTACTGAATCATACCATGGTTTATCCTTAGGCCTTATTGTGATGATATTTGTAGGTATACATTGTTGAGCTAAATTATGGAACTTTCTTTGTAAACAAGTCACAGGCTTCGTCAATAGTATTTAAGTATAGAAAAGACCAATCGGTTGTGCTAATTAATTCATCAATTTAACAAAATTCGTTCGTTTGTAGTTCCATATGCGTATAGAGAAGAGGGTAAATTGGAAGATTTAATAAATACGTACGTTCCAAAATGGTCACTTTAATTCTTTTGGAGTGCAATGAGTTCCTGACGTTAAAACAGTTAAATCATTTAAAATTACTATTGGATCTAGCAGGGTTATGTTCGAGCAGTAACACGTGTTGGATCAGTAATTATATTACGCATACCATTTAATAATAAGATATTTCGAGATTATTATTGCTCGAATTAAATTGGTCTTCGTTTATATCACCACGAATTATTATGTTTGGACAAAGTTCAAAGGCCTTTTCTACTCATAAGTTCATTTTATCCCAGTAATCATTAAACTAGTTTGGAGGTCGATATGTAGTACATATCAAAATTCTATCTTGTGGTATTCTTATTTCAACCCCAACTTCAAAAAATGTTTCAAGATCACTCAGTCTTTTTAAGATACATGTATCAGATACATATATAAGCATAACGCCCAGAATATGAATTACACCTTTTTCTATGCAAATTACTATATCCGCCTAGAGAAATTGAAGAGTCAGTGACATAATTACTTAAGTGAGTTTCTGTGAAGCATAAATATCGTAGCCTAGCCAATTATCAGAAATGAAATTAATTTTGTTGCGAATGCTTCTTATATTTTGGTGAAGTATGGAAATACAGGTTGGAATTTGTATCACACTATTAGGGCCAGGATTCATTTCTACATCTCCGCAAAATATTATCTTTAAAAAACATAAAATTTGAATCAGCACTTTGCTGCCATATTGCCAAAATGTTTGACCACGTGATAATGAGATTGACCTTTACGGGTTATTTTCCGCGGACGACTTACTTTTTTAAAGATATTGAATAAGGTGATTTACTGACTTTTGTATTCCATATAAGTATATTTAAGTACTGAAAAATTAAGGAATATGAATAAAAACATTATCTTGAATTATAAATACGTCAACAAATATGTTCTAAATAAAGTAAACGACTATACTCTTATAGGTTCCCGCGAATTACGTCTCGCGTAGCTTCTAAATGTCATTGCCTACTACTGTAGTCGGCGTTATTGATGTTTTACAGTTAAATAGGCAATTTTAATGACAGTATAAATATTTTGATACTCTAAATGGTATAGAATGATATTAAAATAATTGTTTTATCGCAAAATGCTCAAGAATTAATTGGGACAAGGGTATTTGCAAATGACAAATAAGGTTAAATCTACCTATATTATTATGGTTAGATTTCGTAACGGGTCTAATCCAAAACTTTTGTAAACAGTTTGTAAATCAGTTTGTTCTGTCCAAAGCCAATTCTTTGTATTGAAGTTAGATTCTCAATTTGTATCAAGTAAACACATTAAAAATTAATTCTAAAGGATAACAAACATTTTTAGAAAAAAAAATGTTTTGTTTTTATTCTAAAAAATGGAATGTACTTCATTTTAGATTTTGTCATTCCGCGTCTAATTGGACATTAATTTTAGATTTATATACATGTATAGCTCTCAATAAGCAGATTGCATTTATTGATAGTCTGCTTTGGTTCACAACGAATTTGAATCTATCAATAATTTCTAATATCAAATTTGAGCATCGAAATTTAAATGAAGATGACAATATTCGAACGATATATTCAAGCAAGTCGCTTAAGGATTGTTAGAAGAAATCGATATTCGAACAAGAGTAGCTTTAGAACTGTAAGAATCTAGATTAACAAAGAATCCAATATTCGAACAAGTAGCTTCAGGACTGTAAAAGCCCGAGAAACAAATAAGCCGATATTCAAACAAGATAGAGTAGCTTTAGGATTGTAAGAATCTTGATAAACAAAGAAGCCGATATTCAAACAAATAGCGTAATGATTGCAAAAACGTCGATTAACAAATAAAGCCGATATTCGAACAAGTAGCTTTAGGATTGTCAGAATCTCGATAAACAATGGAGACGATATCCGAACAAATCTCTTTAGAATTATAAGAATCACAATAAGCACAGAAGCGATATCCGAACAAGTCACTTTAATGTGTATTCAGCACTTGCAATCATCTGCATGATACTGCACAGGTTATACATTTGATAGCATGAGAATCATACAAGCTCATAGATGCTTACGCGCTTATCCTATACATATTACGTACATAAATAACTTAGTATAATGGATTTACATTCAAGACAGTTAACGCTTGGATCTGGAATAATGCCATCTGTTGGCCTCGGAACTTTCACATTCTTCGGAAAACATGTATGTAAAACATTTGTTAATATATTGGTTTCTGATTTGCCTATGTTGTTAGAATTTTGACAAAACAATGTAAAGAAAGAAACTGCATCAATGATATTCCATATTCTTTACAGCAAATGTGAAGAATATGTTTGTGCTGTGTGATTTGTGATCCCAATTTCCACAACTCTGATCTTTGTGGTAGTGTTTAAAGTGTATAGGTCGACAATAGGCACATTTTCCATAATCAATTCAAATCTTCACAAAACAATAGAAATGTATACTTTAATTATCCTAATAAAGTATTGCTTAAAAAATAAATGTTGATAAAGTTTTGAGTGATTTAGAATGAACATCTATCTGATGAATAATAATATTTTGTCCTAGAGCATTGTTTTATTGCTATATAAAAAGAAATATTGGATATGTATCTCACACTTGCTAACAACTTCTATGCGCTTGCATACTTATTTCGAATTATTTCGTGGTTTGTTGCTATGTGTAATACTTCATGCTATAAACGTTATCATTCATTGTACAACAGACATACAGTTATAGGCCAAATCAGTTTAACACACGTGTTAAAAATGTGATTCATGTACCAAAAGAGCACGAGCCGATTTAAAAACGTTGGATCAAAGCTGAGAGACTCTTTCGTTTCAAATAAGCGTATGCAAATCAAAGTACAGCGCATTTACCTTTTGGTATAGCTTACCTGACAAATTACCGCACTGTCTGTAAAGTTTAAAGAGAAAAAAGTAAAAAAGTTGAAAATCTTTATACTGAAATTCAACACAATTGTTTCACTTCACGTAAACACACTGACCATAGCTTTCGCAAAAGTGGTGGGTCCATCGAAGCGTCGATGGAGTATTCGTCGCAGAAGCGGTGGATAAAATATGGTCGTTTGCTGTTGTCGGTAAATTAATGAATTTTACTTTGTGTTTTAACGTTTTACTGGAAACACCTCGTGGGACTGATGCCCACATATGTACTCCTCCGATTTATTACACACAAAGCAATTCGTTGCCATTTATGAAAAAACTTCTGTATTTTGGTAATAACACGATCAATGATCAAATGTGTGTTTACAAAACACACCTAAATACACCAGAATCACATCGTTTGTACCATACTGGCACAAAACAAACATATTTTAAAACTAAGAATTTTTGGAAATTGTTAATGACTTTATATAAAAGAATTGACAAAAAATGGATTACAACGCAGGCGGCGGTGGATTCGACTGCAACGCAGTGCGGTTGGCCCGATAACATTAATGTCTATTTTGAGTGTTTAACTAGACATTTAACTAGACAGTTTTTAAAGGAGTTAAACCCTTTTTCTTTCTTCAACATCAGAGAAACGTGTTTTTAACATAAAAAATCGGTTAATTTTGTATTTACTTTTAGACAAGATTGTACAGATGCATATATTGACTTTATAATATTTAAAAGTTTCGACTTATACCGCAATCTATCAATTTCATCCAAAGTAAGTCTCTTTTGACTGTATCAAAAGCTTTTTCTTAATCTATAAATATACAATATATTTTTTTCATTTTGTTTAAGACCTTTTGATAAAAGAATGAAGCATAAAAATTGCATCAGTGGTTGACCGTCCCTGTTGAATACCAAATTGACTATCATTAAACATATTACATCACTATTCAATTGGTCAAATAAGTCAATCTCAAGCAAACATAAATTCCGTGATTTATACAACGTTAGATTCTTCTGGTGAAAAATAACAAATGCAGATATCGTATCTATACATAACCTAAAAACTCCCTATCTAATTAACCCATACAGTTCCTTCTCAATTCAATGTGATAATTACCTTTAAAAAATATATTACAATACCCCCACTGTTGCGCTTTGATCGTTAATTACCTTTAGGTCTAGGACAATAAAAATGGTCATAACCGTTAATCTTAAGATTCGAGATTTTTGACGTCCAGGTTTCTGTTAACAAAATGAGATCAAATTACGAAATAAACTCTAAAAAGTCATTGTCATTTAATTTTGAAGATAATCCCTGACCATTCCATAGTGTAATATTTGATTGTTTCCATAATGCATCTTATTTCTGATACGTCGTGCCATGCGTTTCATTGCGGTATACTGCGACGGAAGATCTATCCGAAATTGCGTCCAGTTTATCTATGTCCGTTATCGGCAGATTATTAATTGTGTAAAGTCTTTTCCCAATATACAGTTTATCCAAATATAAGTTCGCTCTCAAGCAAGCATCCCGTGCCATCTTAAGATAAGGGTTTAACAGTCGCCGTTCTTAATCGCTTTAGGGTACTGATTACTTACGCCATGACAAAGTGTATCCCTTTTTCAAACACTTTCTGTTTGATTATTGATTTGAGATCAGGATCTTTGAATTTTGCAACTATTGGGTGTATTTTGTTTTTCTTATACTGACCAATTCCGTGCGCTCTATTTTAATATTTTCTTCTGGATTGACCATTTGTAATTTATCATTGCATCGTTTTGATGCGAATTAGTTAACCACTCGGCCTACGGCCTTCGTGGTCAGTTCCGACGCATCAAAACTCCAAACCGGAGTTGTATAGCCGATAAACACCGCTCAGACCGATATAATTTCTTAATTATATTATTTTAAACCCAAAGTAAACACGTTTCTCTGATGTCAAAGAAAGAAAAGGGTTGTACTCTATAAAAAGAACTGCGTTATGTCAAGTTAAACCCTCAAAATAGACATTAATGTTATTGGGCCCACAGCACTGCGTTGCAATCGAATCCACCGCCGTCTGCTTTGTAATCCATTTTGAAAAGGCAAAAACAATTTCTTAAAGTTCTAACATATGGTTGTTTTATGCAAGTATGATACATTTGGTGTGATTTTGGTGTATTTAGGGTCGTTTTGTACACATTTGATCGTGTTATTACTAAAATTAGGCAAAACTGGTACTGTAAAAATGTGCTTGCATAAATGGCAATGAATTACGCTGTGTGTGTGTAATAAGATGGAAGAGTGCATATGTGGGGATGTTTTCAGTAAAACGTTAGAACACCAAGTAAAATTCAGTCATAAACATTCCGACAACAGCAAACGGCCATGTTTTAGACACCGCTTCTGCTACAAATACTTCATCGCCGCTGCGATAGACCCACCGCTCTGCAAAAGCTATGATCAATGTGGTAAAAGGAACATCTTAATCCGTAGTAGATATCACGTTAGGGAATCACGTGACTTTTACGGTTACGCGTACAGACAATATGGTGGCCTAAAAACCTCGCTTCACATTTTTTTTACAGGTAATTCTTTATTATTTCCATTTTACTTACATACGAGACCTGTTGCAGCCTACGCAGAATAAAGAATTGTTGCCACCTATACCTTATTTTCCGCCCCTATATTATTTCCCGGTAACTTATTTCATAAATAAATAAATGTGTATATAAGCGCCACTGGGCCGTTATATCTTAATTAACATGGTACATAGGCAGCACTTGGTTGTGATATCATAAATTAATAGGGTGCATATTTTAAAGTTATAACATTACATCAGATTACGTCACTTTTGTTAGTTGTCAAAATATGTATGGTCCGAATTGGGTAATGGATCATCCTAGAGACTTTTTTGTCATGTCTTACTGATTTGATACTCCAGAATGACTACCAACTGGCACTGTAAAAAATACGTAATTCAGTTAATAACGAATTTCTGTGAACGTGTTCACAACTTTTGTTTTCTGTTTGTTTTTTTTTTAAATATTTGATAAGCAAAGTATGAACTAGATATAAGTATGATGCTGAAAATATCACTTTACCAGCTTAAATATATAGGCGTGATCAAGGATTTATATTTATATATTGTAATATATGTTATGAGGGTGCCTTTTTCACCGACACAAATAGCATACAGTCATGTACATTCGAAATAATTTTTACTTTTTATGCCTGAACATTTTATCTTGTTTTAAATTACATAGCTTTTTTAATTGTTTTTCTTTGTCTTAGTAATGCTTAAATAAAAATAATTTTTAATTAACCAGTATCTTGCAATTAATTTTTACGTAGCCGTTTTTCGAAACTACAGAATAAATAACTAAAAAGCTATCGGGGAGCTTAATCTGTTAAAGCACGATGGATAAAACTCCCTTCTGGGCTATATTCGACGAAAATTACATGTATATACAGGCTAACAATGCAAATGTGAACATAGATTTAAGTTTTATCTTTCTCTCATGTTTCATTTTTCCACACTCAATGAAAGTCACGTTAATCAATATATATCCAAATGATTCATAAACAAATATTCAAAGAAAAGAAATATCAACAACATGAATTAATATCATGTAAAGTGCCATTTACATAGTGCTTATGTAAAATTTAGTCAAATCTAAAGATTATATTTACGTTACAATTGTAAATAAAGACGATCAGGTATATTTCGATTTATTTTCTTTTTTTAAGGGAAGCCCAGATGAAATGGAATCCGCTGTAGGTCTTGCCATTGATGCTGGATATCGCCATTTCGATTGCGCATGGGTGTATGGAACGCAAGGAGTAGTTGGTAGAATGTTGGAGAAGAAAATAAATGAAGGTGTCATTGAGCGGGAAGATGTTTTCATTACTACAAAGGTTTGATTAATTTTAAGTTGCATGAGAATCAACACAAACCTGAGGCTGGCCTTTTTCGAGTAAATAAAGAAAATGGGAATCCTTAAAGAAAGTCCAAAACGGCAAAATTGAAAATGTTGCAGGCTCGGTTTGATTGAGACTGTTCATGGACTGTATTGTAAAGTCCAAACTACCGTCCACGCCTTAAAACACCGGCTTAAGCAGAATTCAACATTTAAACATGAAAATGGATAAATTTTGAATTTAGAAACATTCGCAGTTGTGTTCACTAGGCGGTTACAAAGTCGAGTTTATGGTATAATCAGTTGCCCGAGAGTTAAGATTACTCAGTCTTCTATTTTTCTAACTCACCTAGGCATGTAGCAAAGCCAATTAATTATCTTTCGGTTGTCCTTTTCTTAATGCGCAATGACGTTTCCTGGACAAAAACCCCTCCATGGGTGGACATAATCACCTTCATGTTTTTGCAAGGCTGGACAAAATCCCCTTACCTACCCGGACAAAATCCCTTTGTTTCATAGGTTTCGGATGTTTTGTTATGCTCCATAAAAATTTATTAATAATGTATTATTAGCTCTATCAAAATTTATGAAAAATGAACTTTTGTTCTTGTTTTTTTTATTTATAATAATATGTCAAGTTAACCTTCATGATTTTATAAGCTTGACAAGACAAATTTTTATATTTGTTCAGGTCAATTATCAACCAAATTATCATTAAAAACATAAAATTAGTTAAGCAGTGTTCATTATAATTGTGGTAAATTATCAACTGCATAACAAATAAATATATTTGATTAGGCAATCACCACACAGCATAATGCAGTATGTCGCTCTCATACCGAAAATTCATCCGAGGAGGATTTTGTCCTAGGTAGCAATTTTATAGAACTTCAAAATTTCACACATGAAGGGGAGGATTATATCCACTTATGGAGGGGATTATGTCCAGACATACAAATATTGATGAAGGGAATTTTGTCCGAAGGGGATTTTGTCTGACATTCGTCTTTTAAGGAACAACAGTAAACTGAAATAAGACGATAAATGCAAGACATTTTGACTACTTTAACACGCCTGGTAAAAAATAGAGCTACCCCTTTCTGAGGTATACAGTAAATCGCTCTATCGCTACTTTCGAACTAGTGCATATCGCTAAAATCAAGTGTCAAGTGTTTTCATTTTTTTATGTATTTTGTAAACTCTACATGCTCTACAGCAAAGAATGATATGACAAATAGATTTGATTAAGGTTTCCAGAAAACGTACAGTTGTTACAATTGTGTTTGAAATTTAGTTGTGGCGGCGTTTCCCAGTTAGCGAAGTCAGCGTTGAAATAGACCCTTTCTTCATGTAACAAATTATTTTTCGTCCAATTTTCATCTAAACAGCGATTCAGATTGAAAACAAATATGTTTCAAGAAGATATAAGGATATAAGGTCTTGAAATGAAATAAGATTAAAATCATATCAAAACATTAGTTAATTAAGAAAATATAGGATATTTGTTCTTGGAAACAGCTCTGTCGTTAAGGAGGTAGTCATGTCGCTAAGGAGATAGCTCAGCTCTATGGCTTTAAATGGGACAAAAATGATATGGCCAAAGAATGTAAAAGGTTTTCGGTGAAAAAGATCTTAGGATGTTGATACAACGGGTATAATTATGAGAAATGAAACAGAAATATATATTGTAAAAGTTGCGCTTTTGATGTACTTGTTTTTAATGGTTTCTGAGAAGATTTTTTTTCTCTATCTAAAATGCCAAGTTAGTAGCCAGTGCTAGTATCTTCATTGATTCCAGCTAGTCCTTTTTTCTGTTAAACACCTTGAATATCCAGTAACGCAGTGTGGTGCAAATAACGCAGGCTTTGTGAAAAAAGTAATGCAGAAATGTGCAATTCTATGAGTGAAACTACCACCACATAAGAAAATGAACTAATACCTTTATTGTACATGAAACTTAAGATACGGTTGCTGAAACATTACACTTTAAACATCATGAAAAGTATTTACATGACAATGTTTATTTTACAAAATCATTCGTGAGAATTTCGATATGACTTTTGAATTTCGTCGTATCTTAAAATACAAAATCGTATATACATGTATTACATTATGAATTTTGATATTCGGTGTATAGCAAAAACTACTCGTGTCTTGATATACTCGATGTAAATGTAGTCATCTGAAAGGGGCAAATATTTACTGTGCTTATGTTTTGTAAGTTCTATACAAAAAGATAAAATCTTATCATGTATTTTTTAGTTAAATTTTTATTGTAACTTGGAAAAAGTGATTGTATAATTATGTATAAACTAAAATGATATTAAATGAGTGCAGGTTCAATACTTCATTTAAAACTACACAAGTATAGATACTTTAGTATCCTGTTTATCACATATACAAAGAAAAAGTTGTGTACAGTTAAAAAAATATGAGTCGATAACAATTTAAACGCTGTTAATGTTTTATTATGCAAATTACGTCATGATATAAATGTATAGTAATTACATTAGCATAATATTGTTTTTATTAAATTTTTGTGCCGAAATAAATATAATGAATAAAATATACACAAACAATCAGACATTTTGTACGTAACCATAATGCTATCTCCTTTACGACATGACTACCTCCTTCACGACAGAGCTGTCTCCCAGAACAATATTCGTGTACGTTGTTCATTAACTCATTGGACTCGTTGTATGAATTTTTTATTAATGATATTATTTTGTTTAACTTGTTCATTATAATTCAGCATTGAAACTATATTTTTTTATAGATTACTCTATTCTGTTAGTGATAAAATATCACCTTGACTGATTCTAGTAGAGGAAAGAAACATAAATATAACCTACAAATAAAGTAAAGAAGTATTTGAAATAATATGTTTGTTTTTTTCTGTGAAAGAATTATACATATCAAGCAGGTTGACATTAAGTGGTCGTAGCAGACAGTATAATTTTTTTTTATTTTCTCATTTTTATACAGAGCACAGTGTTGAAGAAGCTTTATCAATACTTCTATTACAGTTATGGAATACGCATCACAACCCGAAACTCGTATTGGGAGAATTGAAGGAGTCGTTGAACCAACTACGGACAAACTATGTCGACATGTTTCTAATGCATTATCCAACGGGACAAAGGGTTCGTGAATATATAAGTTAATTGATATAAATAATTGATAACAGTTGGATTGGACAGTTTGTTTATAGAGGAATTTTGAAAACTGTAATAAATGTAAAATATCTGTAAATTCATGTATAGATAAAAGTAAACAAATTCCATTTTGGAGAAATTTTTGTAATTAGTTTTAGATACAAGATGAATACAAATTTTCTTCACGTAAAGAATTGATTAAGCCAGGTATTTGTTTGATGTTTTTTCATTTCCTTTCCAAATAAGGACCAGGGTTTCAGCGGAGAATTAGCCTTGTCAACAGACACGAAAGATTATGAATGCTACCCACTAGAGGATGTTTGGAAAGTAAAGACATCTATCTTACATTTTTTCCTGTTCACATTTTGTAACGTTTCATCCTCAGGTATTACCTTCATACGAAGATACATAATTTAAACCGCTAGTGCGTATGTTATTGCCAATCTTTCAACGAATTTCGATTCATTTGAAAAATTAAAAAATAAACATATATCCTGGGATTCCTCTTATGTTTTAAAAATATATTTAGCAATATTTTTCATATGTAGGTTACATATTTGTTTTAACAAATCGTTTAAATTTATTTTTGCTAGCAACTTTGTTGAATTTATTCAAACGTTATATGACGCCTCTACGACATGAATCGTAAAAAAGACATCGTATGCTTATTTAGAAGACGTTATGAAACTCAGTCTACGTGTGTTACCATACAGGAGCAATTTACCATAAGAACCTGTTAATGTTCCACATCAGTGCCTCTTCTTTTCGTGTTTTTTTTTTTTTTTTTTTTCTTTTTTTTTTTTTTTGTCATATGAACTTAATAGAAAATGAGAACAAAGACCAACAAGACAGACGATGTTAAGAAAGCAGTTTGATGTGAATTGAAAAAATAATTTATGCTTTTGGGTGGATTGCTGATTTATCCAAGAAAATTATATTTGATAATTTCACAGTGAAATTTATCAAAATATAATTTCACAATTTTCAATGACGAGACTTGTCACTTTTTAAAGATTTTTCTCATGCGGTACCTCAATTTTATTTTTGCTGACAATTTTGACATTGTCGGGGGTGTTTAGAGAAAAGCAAAGCTAAAAATTGATAAATAACTGAAATTTCAAAAGTAATAAAGAAACTTATTTCAATTTATTCAAATAAACAATCACCAAATACCGTCTCTATTTTTTTTGTTTCATCTTTACAGTCTGAAAAATACACTTCCTTCTACATGCAAATTTGTTCCTGACGAGCAATAACTGCCTTATGAAAACTTGAAAAGTAGCCCGAAGAATAAGTTAACAACCCAGCGTTCGTAAAACAGCCTTTCAACAATTTCATGTTTAGCGGTGTTTTTTTTTAATGTTTACACATCTGTCATGTATGTAACCATCTTTAAATAAGTTTTCTTTCATATAAAAAGATGTATGACTAACTAATCCAAATGATATTCCTCAGAATCAAACAATTATTTTCCTCCCGTGAAATACACAACTTTTAAAAATGGCGGTCGCTTATATAATTTACTGAAAGCCTGGTCTAATATAAATTCGCCATAAGTAACGGAAATAAGGTCGGATGGTGTGACTTTTTCTTCTACTAGAATTGTTTGTTTTTGTTATTAAAACAAGCGATTATTCATTGTTTTTAGAATAAAATAAATGTCATCGCCATTTAATGTTAATTGTCGAACTTATTTTTCAGCTGAAGACATTTGGTATTTATGAGAAATTCGACTAAAAATGAGGCTACCAGTGGGGAAAACATATTTTAATATACAATTAATATTGAGGAAATTTCATTTAAACTTGTTTTTAAGCATAAGATAAAAAGAAAATTTGTTTGTTTGTTGTGTAAGATGTAAGTTTATTTCATCTCATGAATTTTAAACACACGGCTACGCCACTCTAGAGAATACTGTTTTAAAGCTCACTCGATGGAAAACAATTTCATCTTACACACAAACAAACAAATATCATCTATATAAAATTTTTATAGGAGATGGAAAGATGTCATCAGTTAGGATTAACAAAGAATATTGGATTGTCAAACTTCACCATTGATCAAACGAAAATAATATTTGACTGCTGCACCATAAAGCCGTCCAACATTCAGGTCAGAAAAAAGAATATCATATATATTATCTGATTTTTTTATTGCTTGGCTAGTTCCAAACTGGTAGTTTTGTATATTCTTTACGGTTTCCATGTTACATATTATTTTTATGTCTATCTCTCTAGATTTTTAAAGCAAAGCAAACCTGCAAAAATCTTTAATAATACAAAATTGATTTTAGAATATATCCTTCGATAAGATAGTATGTAATTGACTTCTATTTTCAGATTGAGGTCACACCTTATTTCCTCAACGAGCGATTGGTTAAGTTTTGTATAGGCAGAGGAATGACTGTGACATCGTATTGCCCATTAGGTAGCCCTACACATCCAGTGTAAGATAACATAATAATACCGACTTAATGTTAACAGATTTGTTTAAAATCATTGTGCATGCAATATGTCAACTAACATTAAGAAATACCAAATCATCTTTATTCTATAATCTATAATCTGTATAATCTGACACAACATTCCTCAAGAAGACAGTTCATTTCGATATACCGGTAATGAAATATGACATTGACTTCTCCTCGCTTTGGTTCAAGCGGAATCGGGCATTCGACTGTCTACAATTGACCGCAAATTATGCGATCGGACATTATTTTCTCTCTCTCTCTCTTTCCTTTGTTATACATATCATTCAACATCCATGGTAGCTTTCGTTAAGAAATTCTGTCACCAGGCTTGATGTATATGGTATGAAATTCTTTCTTTGCCTCTCTTATTTTTTCAGGAGATTAGCGGGAGAAAAAGGTCCTCTTGAAGACCCTGTTCTCATGGAAATGTCCAAAGAAAAAGGGAAATCTGTAGCACAGGTAAACGTTAAATATAAATGCATTATATTGGTAAAACGTATTGACAGATGTGACAGTCAAAATCCTTATATTTGATTTATTTACAGTTAATATACCTTTAAGTAAATGCAGATATTTAATAAATAAAATACTATTCCAAAGTTACATTTTTGTTTGGCTTTAAATATTGATTTCATTATCATACTATCTGTATGTAAAATTCGTCTTGATAATAATTTTTATTTGTCTCATTTTTTCGTTGTAAAGTTAAAATATATTGGTCTACAAAGGCATATTTTCATAAGGTTCTCAAATACGGATAGAACAATAGGAATGTATTACGTGTATTTGGTTATTCTTATAAAATATGCTTTAAAAATGTTGAAAATCTTCTAAAAGATTTGATTGGCCTCATTTGAGGTAGAATAATAGTTTGTTTTAGAACAATTTATTATTTGCTATACATAGACATATTATATCGGAGCATGTATTACGCATTTATCAACAACATCCATGTATAAATTCTCGATACTTTGTTGTCATCTATGATAATAAATACTATCAACATAAATATTAATGGTATTACAAACTTTCCATTACGTATCATTTCACTTTAAGCAGAATTATATATTTCAAAAGATGTACCAAAACTGTTACGAAAATTTTCTACCATTGACCATTAATGTCGAAAATTTAGCTAAGTCGGTAAACAGGAAATGAGCGACAGACTTGAAATTGAATCCCACGTTTTGTTCAAATATGGAAATATTGCATAACCCATGTGTTGTTCGACCTGATAGGTATTCTTTTAGCTTTTGAAACAAAAAGAAGTTACAAGGGGCAAGGTCAAGTGAATGCAGAGGACGGGGAAGCACAACGACTTTTTTTTGCTTTACAGTCTTGCACTATAGAGACTTTGTGCGATGACAGGTTGTCGTGCAGCAATCTGTAATTGGCCTAACATTTTGCTGGCGTTTGTTTCCGAAAGTATTTGTTTACTTTTCGAAAAGCTGATGAAATTAAATACATTAGAATCTAACAGATTTGCCTTCATAACCAGCAACCTAAATGGCGGGGCCCAGATTTGTAAAGAATATGGCATACATAACTATTTTTACACTGATGGTTCAGTTTTGCAATGCATGATCTTTTGCCAGACTTTGTAGCCCAAATCTTGTTTCGGTGTTTTCGTTTTTGCTCCTAAAAATGAACAATAATTCGTCGACAGTGACGATATTTGCAAAAGACCCGTGAATTGTAATTTAGATACTGTTCAAGCAACAGCTTTTTTCAGAAAATTGGTGACCCATCTAGCACAGATCTTTCCACGTTCAAATAATGAGATGCCAACGACCCAAGCTATAAGCCTTGTGCTATATCTTGCATCATTTTAACAATTTCTTCCACTTTAGCATGACACACATTGCTGTTTTAGATCAACGGCTATGGGAAGCATCTGTAATCGAAATTATCCTACATTTAAATTAATTAAACAAACGAATTACTGATAGGAAAGACATTTCATTTTGTCAATATATAGAACAGACTTTATCAAAAATGCCTTTACACACATTTCATTTTGTCTATATATAGAACAGATTTCATCAAAAATGCCTTTACACCATATGTCAAGGATACAACGAGTTTAATGTAAGACCGTATTTCAACCGTCTTTGTCTTACAGTATACGAGTAGGCAATGCATAACGAGCTATAAACACAGCTAATGTGAACAGATTGTAATGAACATGGAATCAATGTTAAGCATGCATATCTACACAATTACCGCCATTTCTTCGTGTTTTTGTAATATTTGAAAATAAAAATATAATGTTCTTTTGAACATTCCTCGTAGATATTACTGTGTTTTACATGATATATTAATTACGCGTGCGACGTAGGATATTTTAAATTAAGAACATTGCAAACATTTGTTTTGACTTTTCTCTGTTCATTTACCATTTACACTTACAAATGTCACTTTAAAGAAATAAGATATTACTGACAAGGAATTTAACAGACTAGAGTGAACATTTCTATTAAGATATAACGTAAAAATGATGCTTAATGTTTGAATGGCGTTTTCCTGTACACAGAGTGGCTCATTTTATTCCTGAAAAATATACAGTTATGATAAGGGGTGTGCTAATATAAACTTAAGTTTTCTTTTTTCACAGATTATTCTTCGGTTTCTCATACAGTATGGAACCTCCGTGATTCCCAAAAGTGTCACTCCATCTAGAATCAAAGAAAATATAAATGCAAGTATATTTTATTTTTGTTTTAGATCTCTGTACATAATGGGCGGACACAATTTATCGAACATGGCCTACGTCTTGTTCATAGTGATGTTGACTTGCGCATATAATGTTTGATGAATTTAGTCTTTGTTTTGCTTTGTTTCAGTTGTCTTATGGATTCGGTACAAGAAATATTAAAAATATTTTTACATATTTGAAGGGATTTATAGATAGATGAAGTAAAATCAGATGTTTATAACAACCATTTGAATTGCCAACAGTTCTAACCATTTAAAAATCGTTCCAGGTGTTTGACTTCGAGTTGACAGAAAAAGAAATGCAGTCGATAAAATCTTTAAATAAAAACAAAAGACTTTACAACGAGATAAGGTATGTTACAATGTGTACCTATACAATTTAGCAACTGCCCTGTTATAGTAATAATAAATTTTCATAATCAAAGTACAAGTGTCATATTTTATTAAAAAAAGAGAGTAGAAGTAGGGAGAAAAGTGCATTAAAATGTTTCGTATAATGCATTATCGTTTAGCAAATATAGTTGACGCAACAATCTATTACATGTATTTCTACATGCATATCATCCATACATACTTTGAGAAAAGATAGGCGTCTCCCGCTATAATATTTTCTTACGATTTTATAAGTACGTATTTATAAAAAGTGGAGTAAGCAGAAACTCTAAAATATCATTCATAAACAGAAAGTTTCTTGATGTTCAAATATTTAATTTTTTTATTTCATCCACGGTTTCAGGTTGAAACATCACCCGGAATATCCGTTCGACGCACCTTTGTAAACTTCGTTTATGGCATTGGGCAAATTTACTGCTGGAAAAACTTCTGAATTTATACAATAACGAAGATTCGCCGGCCGAGGTTAAGATCTTTATCTTTTTGCTCTGCCATGAAAAGAGGGGTATTATATTGTAATGTGAGCAGCTTTTATGTGTATATGTGCAATAAATAACTGCGTGTCAATGATAAACATCAGCATATATTATGATTTCAAAATATGTTGGTTCAAATGACCACCTTAAGTTGGTTTATAATGTTATAGTTCAAAACAAACGATTCAAAGGCAAATGTCTTAGCAGGATAAAGCTTTGTGTCTTTGTTGCAGCTGCTATACATTAATCGATTTCATTATAAATTCATCAAAGTTATGAGATTTAAACATTTAATATTTTTCACTTATTTGTAAGTGCTGTTATTGTTCGTGTCCGGTTTTACACTTCAGCATGTATGGTGAGTTTTGCGATAAACTTAGTTCACACGAGTACCATAATTAAAGGATGAATTGCGTGCAAAACTCTTGCCAAAACGTAGGAATTTTGTTGTTTTTTTTCTAAATATTCTGAAGTGCAGTTTGTGGTCATTAGTAGATGATAAGTTGAATCCAAAACCAATGGCATTATGTTAAAAGTGAAAGTAATTTGAAGGGAATATTGATTCTATCATATAAGAAAAATTAATATGCTTTTTTATCTGTTGCATATGTAAAATAAAGAAAATAGAATGTTAGTGAGTTTCTTTTAATCATTTTAAACCTGATGTGAAATAAGAACAGTTTGTTCGAGTTGCCAACTTGTGATGAAAATATCCAAACATTAAAATATTACCATAATAATTACAAATAGTAAAATCAATTCATATTAAAATATCAACACATAAAACTTGGGAAAAAATAAATAATATAATAAATAATCCACGGTTTCAGGTTGAAAAGTCACCCTGAATATCCGTTCGATGCACCTTTGTAACTTTTTTCTATGACATTGGGCAAATTTACACCTGGGAAAATTTTTACATTTATACCATATTACCAAGATTCGTCCGCCGAGATTATGCCCTGTCATGAAATTAGGGGATGGTATATTTAAACTGATCCAATAAACACAAGTAGAGGCATCAAGTCGCCGGATAGAAATATGGTTGGATTATCATAAATATAAGAAAATATCAGTTTAATGGTTCATGTATAAAGAAAAGAGGAACAATAAGTTGAGTAATGTTTATTCATTACAAAACATCATATTTTTAAAGCAAATTTGATTAGCAATATTGTCAAGATACTGTTATCATTAGTAAATAAGCAAGTATTGTTTGGCAATATTGACCTGAGACTTATTAAATTTCGGGAGGTATTTTGTTAGTTTCAGTAACTTATTATGATTAATGTTAAAGATTTTATTGTAAATATAATTATATATCAATTAATACTGCTCGATGGCCTAGTGGTAAATATGGCGAAGTTGTGACCTATTAGGCGCAAATTCGAATCCTAGACAAAACCTGTTTGTAGTTTTCATAAATTAAGTTTCATTATATCTTATAACTATATGAAACATAAGTTGATAAATCGTGTGTTTCATTTCTAGCACCTTTTTTATTTCATAATTTTGAAAAATGTTTATTGCTATGTGCACGACTTTAAATACATTGTGATTTGCAGGCATACCACATAATGGTAAAGTTTTGCAAAATACAAAAAACAAATCATAAAAGACAACATAAAAAATCACTTTATCGAACCTACAGTCTTCAATTTGAAACTAACTGAAAATCTAACACCTTGTCATCGAGGCTTGTAAGGGCTTTACAAACCTTAGGCAAGTGATATGCTGGTAATTCTACTTGTAATTCTACTTTATACATATACCGTTGTACCATACATTGACGTCCGTATGGTTTACTTCAGAATCCGATAATTATACTGACAAATAATTACCAGTCATCGAATATTTGCAAAGTGACTATGAAAATATATATGCTTAATTATTGCATAAAACAATTCAATTCTACTGTAAAAGTGGTGTCTGCATAAAAAAATATTCTTATGCGCTATCGAAAAAATATATAATTTAGTTGAAATCAATATACGCCCCTCGTACAAATCAGATAGCCTCGTGTTTCGATGTTCTTTCTCGTTTGTATCATAGTCAAACATAAAATTACGTTCCCTGATACCACAATATGAAACCCCACAAAAAAGTAACCAATGAACGAGCATCTGAATATGATATTTCCATCGCTATCCCTTTCTCTGTCGTCACAATATGTAAACCCCGGACAAAATGAACCAATCAATGGGCATGCTCTGGAGTGCGGGTAACTAATACCTGCGCTCCAGTTAACGCATTGTGCATGTATATGTATACGATTTATCTCTGTCACATTTTCAACAGAAAGGTCCCCAAAGTATGATACAATAGTCACGTGATTCTTACAAAAGAACAGGGAGAAACTGTTTATAATAAATAGAATGATAATAAAGAATAGGTCTCATAAGATATAAACAACCAGATAATTCAAGTGTCATTTCAAATATCATGCATGATAAATTATTTATCATAAAATAGCAACGCTTGACACTTTGAAAAAAGTAAAAGTATCCCTAAATTCAATGACTTATCCATAGGGATACATCATTAATTCATTTGATAAAAATTGTAATGTTGCTGTTTAAGATGTCAATTTTTGAATATTTCATTTCATTGTGCAACGTTATTGTATGTTTGAATTTTTGAGATTACCGAAAAACAATTGTGGTCTTTAATTGTTCAGTAATTGGTATGTTTTTATTTTCAGATTTTAAGGCCTCCTACCATAGGTATAATATTAAACTGTTACAAAAATAGTCGCCGATAGAAACCGGCGACTAATGAACATATCAAACATTCCAAATAATGAGAGAAGCTGAGCATGAGAAAGTAGACAGAAATGAGGATGTAAACGTGGTAGTAACTAGGTTCTAAAAAAATGATGTAAGGCGGCTGATAGTGAAAGAGGGTCAAGACAAAGTTGGGAAAAAAGCATATGAAGAGAGTAAACGTAGAAGTGTGACAGTGAAAACAGAAACAGGGAAATAATAAAGTGAAACGAGTGTTGGTGAAAGAAATGTTGATGAGTAAAGAGAAGTTAATGGAAGAAATAAGTGTTGACAGTATGAGTATGGTAGAGAAGGGGATGGTTCAGAATGTAAAGGTTGGTTATGATGGGAAACTAGAGCAAGAAGCAAGAATCGGTAATGCGGCAGAGATTTGTAAACGGGTAGAAATAGGTGATACAAAGGAACAGGTAAAAGAGGTAAATAAAGCAAGAGATGAAAGGGCAATTAATGATGATAAAGGTGATAAAACTAAAGATAAAGAAACCCGCTTGAAGATGAACTGGAATTTGTAAGTGAATTTTTAGCACAGAAAATCATGAAAGATGAAATCAGATAGGATATCAAAACAAAACACAAGAAAAGAGAAAGACAAATTACAAAAATGAAAAGCAGAAAGTAAAATTTGCTAAACCGACAAAAGAAAAAGTAAGTGTAATTGATGGAGGAGAAGTGATTGTAAATGAAAAAGGTGACTATGGGAATAAAAAAAAGGGAAGACAACATATGGAGGAAAATAAAGGACACAAATAATAATAACAACGAATCAATGAATATCCTGATAAGCAGGTAAAACAATCAGGAAAGCTAAGTAGTGAAAAGAGAAGAGTTCAGGTAACAGAAACAGTTAAAGATAAAGAAAAGGTCGAAGTAATAGAAAAAGTGCAAAAAAAAAACAAATAGAGGAGTCAGAAGAGCTAAATGATATTGAAACAGCAATTGATATTCTGAAGAAAGGTGCCATGCCTCTATGTCCGCCAGCACGACGTCAATGGGGACCTAACACACTCGAGGAGATAAATTTAGGAAATGGTCAGGTGGTACAATGGCCGCCTAAAGGATGTGTTAAACGTTGCCTTTGCCTTGTTGATCTTAATTCTTGATTTTTAACATGACGCCAGACAAACGCTTACTTACCGTGGAGATGATGACCATGACTTTAGAGGCTTTTTTTACGGAGAAGTTGCTCCATGGATGTCAAGATGCTACCTCCTTGACAAATATAAATTTCTGATGCTGTCAGCTCTTAAATATCGCAAGGAGCCAGGAGAGGATGATATAACCAGGGCGAGATTCCATAACTTTAAATTCCTGAAAGCTGTGGCAGCTCGGAAGAAACCATCATTTGGCGAGATCCAACAGTTACTGGCATTACGATCATTTTCAAATTATCAGAATTTACCACTTAATCCGAGCACTTTCACCACACCACTTCAATTGCAAAACGGGCAATCATATGTGGATCAAAGCTAAAGTGATAAATAATATTGAATAGCTAAACATACTATATTATGAAAAATGCCTGAATATATTAATTTATCGTGACATAAAAACTTATAGTTTTAATAAAATAAAAGAGTTGGTCGGGTGGAGGCTGCGTTCATTGAACGCCGCCTTTCCTTGTTGATCTTGGTTATCATATATTATACTTCCTTGATGATCTTGTTTATCATATTTTAATGTTATAATTAACATTTCTTATGTTAAGAAATTCTACAGAACATACATTTAAATACATGCATAGAAGCAAAATAGTATATGGAAGAAAATGACTGGATCTTGAAAATAATGCGAGTGTGTAATGTTGTTAATTAAGTTAAATGACCTTTAATATTGTTAAATGACAGATTTTTATACTTCACAACAACAGGTGTCAAGTTCTGTATGGCAGCTGTAAAAAGTTGCCCCGTACTTCAATTCAGTGCTGTTATATTTTTCTGGTCCTTCGGGGTCATTGATGCCAGCACTATTAAGTGTTGAGAATTGAGTACCGCTCAAGCCGGTGCTAGGAGGCGTGAGGGATGTTGCACGTATTCATTATCCCTCATGTACAGACTCAACCAAACCGAGTCTGCAATTCTCTTGATATTTTGTTGTGATTAATGCTTCCGAGGGATCACTTTGTTTCCAGATTTTTATAGAATTTCTTTTAATAGTTTACTATTTTAATTGCCCAGTATTTTGTTATCCCCCGCCGATGGAATCGGGAGGGGGATATAGTTTTGGCGTTGTCCGTCCGTCCGTCCGTCCATCCGTCCGTCCGAATTTCGTTTCCGGAGTAGTTCTCTGCAACTACTGGCTGGAATTCAACGAAACTTTATGGGAATCATCAATATCAAGAGATGCGCATATTGTCGGCTTGTTCCGGTCCGACCCTTTAACTCGGAGTTATGGCCTTTAATTAGTTATGTAGTATGCATATAGAGTAAAAATCGTTTCTGGAGTAGTTCTTTGCAACTACTGGCTGGAATTCAACGAAACTTTATGGGAATCATCAATATCAAGAGGAGATGCGCATATCGTCGGCTTGTTTCGGTCAGACCCTTTAACTCAGAGTTATGGCCCTTGATTAGTTATGTAGTATGCATATAGAGTAAAAATCGTTTCCGGAGTAGTTCTCTGCAACTACTGGCTGGAATTCAACGAAACTTTATGGGAATCATCAATACCAAGAGGAGATGCGCATATCGTCGGCTTGTTCCGGTCAGACACTTTAACTCAGAGTTATGGCCCTTGATTAGTTATGCAATATGCATATGGAGTAAAATTCGTTTCCGGAGTAGTTCTCTGCAACTACTGGCTGGAATTCAACGAAACTTTATGGGAATCATCAATATCAAGAGGAGATGCGCAT